GATGTACTCTGCAGAGGTGAACTGTGGCAAGGGGGTCCTTTAGAGTGACAGCTGCCCCTGATATTCCCTGATTTTATTACATTTTATTGAATGTCTGACGGTGTTGACAAAAAGTGGGGACGCAACTTTAAAATCATATTAAACATGCATGTGTCATTAAAAAACAACACTGCTTTGATAGGAGATATTATTAACTGTTGCTTTTGATAAAACAAGCTCTTTTTCATCATAAAAAAAAAAACATTTTTTTCCATTTTATTGCATATGAATGATTGAACCCTTCTCTGTGGACACACTGTTTTAGATGTAGTGAGAGGACATTAAGAAACACAGATTTGGTATAATAATGAGAAAATTAAATTGAAGGTGATAATTGTGTTAAATACATTCTATTATTAATCCCTCATGACATTTAAAATTGAAAATATTTTTATTTTTAAACCTAATAGCAGTTACCCTTGCTGGACCTGTTTTGTCCCACGTCTCAAGAATGACTGCAAGAATAAAATTTCACGAAAATTTGATTTCACAAAAAAATGTCATAGGGCCTATCATTGGGACTTATGTTACATAAGGTTATTCGAAATCGAATGCAATTCTATATTATAAAGTTAAGTATTCCGTTTTCTATGTAAAAGCATAGTATAGTATAGTATAGTAGGCTATAGTAGTATTGACAAGCTGACTCGACTCATACATTCTGGCTGGGTTTGTTCCATACGCCATCTATAGGATGACAGCAGTAGACCAACTTCCAAAAGACCCCACTAAGACATTGGGGATATTCTTGCATTAATAAATTCACTGATCAGAAGCTTTGGATATTTATGGAGCACGTGAATCCAGAATTTATTGTATATGTCATCTAATGATGTGATTAAAATCACACAGTCACTGTGCAGAGTACAAGTACAGAGTTATTTAAATGCATCTATAGCTATAGCATCTAAACATAAATGCTTATTATTTATTGAAATATTATGTAATAGTTTAATTTATTATGATTTAAATAATAAGGGTGCAAGTCAGAATTTAACTGGAGGTTTGGACAAAAATACCCCAAATACTTCAAATGTATGCTAAAATTACTCACATGTGATATATTTCAGTATATTTTCTCTCCTCTTACGCATTTCCTCTGACAGTGTAGCTGTCAGATAACCGCATTCACTGTTGAAATTAGACTATGTGCTGCTAATATAATAAACTAAAATAATAATGTTTTAATTAAAATTTTAGGAAACACTGAATGTGTGTGGGGGGGGGGAAGCATTCATGTAGAAATTGTATTGTGTTATGATATCCTGTGCATTATTTTATATTTGATTTGATTTAGAACAAAAAATACCTTCAAATTGTAGAGGTCAGTTCAAATGTAAATAGGGATGGTGCAGTGCACAAGAGATAATGTGGCATTTTTAGCACTGATAAAAACGTATAGAAAGATGAGAGACCAGCTAAGGTACAATTATACCTTGTCAGTGCTGCAGTCCCTCTCATTAGAACCAGCCAACTTGTTTACACTAGTGCGAGCGTCTGTGTCGCGCAGCCGGAAGCATATGTGGTTAGATAAAGTTTTGACATTCAAAATGCAGTGAAAACATGGCGGCGCCCATGACATGGAAAAGACTTGTGTTCTCTGCGTATACTCCTGCTTTCTCTTGGGTTTTTACGAGTGTAACAGATCGCTTTTTTAGGACACATGAGCGGAGGAGAGGGTAAATGATAGCGGTCGTTTGCATTACATAAAGACAGTCGATAGAAATCGCGTAATATTAAAGTCAAGCGTGTTTGGCTAATGTTAGCTTGTGGTTGTGTAAAGGAGAGTTCATAAATTCATGTGTGGAGTTACAGTTGTCAAAGTGCGCTTGAGAATATGAGCCGTAAACATTAGATCAATAAAGATGTTTGCTGTTTTTGCTGTACTAATGTTCATTAGTTTATTTCCAGTAAACACTCTTTCTTAAATATGTATACGTATACATAACTATAGTTCACCCCAAAATGCTATGAAAGTAAATGGTGACTCCTTAACATATTCGTTTGTGCTCAACATACAAAATGTATGTAATGTAGGTTTGGAACAGGATGAGGGTGATTAAATGATAATGATACAGACATAACCTTTGTTTTGGGGTTATCTAACCCTTTAATGAGCTGTTAAACTGCACACTTGTTAGTGGGATAGTAAATCAACTAAATAACTTCAGCTAGATAAACCGAGACTGCAGGCAGAAGATCAGACATGGTTTATCAGCAGACTCAGCACTTGCTTTTATTAAAATTATATCTGATTCAGACATGTCTGATCTGATAACTCAGCTGTACACCAAATTCATGGATATTTGTTCATGTTAACCAGCAGATGCTTCTTTAAATGTTTTTTTTTTTTACAGAAAAATGTAGCCTAAGTTGGCCTTTAGTTGATCAGGTATTCTTGTGAAACTGCTGTTATCAGATGTGCATTGCAATGAATAAGGTTCATTCAAGAAGACTTAAAAGCACTGGTTTACAAAGCAGCCATTCACTGCTTGCATTCTTCTGAAAAGGTCGCTTTAATCAAATCACTTTTCAGTCTGATATAAGTAAAGGCCTATTCCTGAATTTTCTTCACTTGTTTAGGCAGATGTGACGTCTATAACGGGCTATGAAATGTGGGTCCCGTTTTTAAGGCAGGGTTGATACATCTGAGAGACGCAGATAGCTAACTTGTATAGATTCGTAAACTCACCCACGATTGACCTTCACATTGTTTTATGCTTAGTCTCCGCAGGGTCACGGCGCTCTCAGAGGCGCCTCTTTTCATTTTGTTTTCTCAGGAGTTATGTGAGATCTACTGTAGTGTGCGGTGAGACTCCGGGTTCTGTGAAGAAAAGCACCGTCTGGGTTGTAGAGAACTCAGTGTGACCTTGGTGTTTGGCAGTAGATCTGAGTGAAGGGTTGAAGTTTGAGACTTCATGCTGTGTCATACAGACCATATTACTGCCTTTGTCTTCTGAACCCTGTTGCATTTGGAGCTAGACTTAGGGCCCTGTTCTGAGTAGTTGGAAATCAAGTTTTGAGAAAAAGAGTTGTTGGTTGAATTATTGCTTTTCAGAATCACAACAACTATTAAATGTACAGGTCTGTATTGCACAGTCAATCATCTCTCCAGCATTTGTTTTTGGTGTAATTGCATGTGCTATTGAAATGTTGAAAAGTAATATTTTGTTAGTTATTATTACAGTTTTATTCACTGTTCTGAAAGAGGCGACAAACCAAGATGTAAAAATAATGATTTTGTTGATGATTTTCCAAAGAACAAAGCAAAAAGTACTAAAAATAAAGTATTAGGTTTTTAATTAGCAAAAATAGCTGAAAATACACTGTCGTTTAAAGTTTTGGGGTCAGTAAGATTTTTTTTTTTTTTTTAAGAAAGTAATACATTCAGCAAAGTGACAATGAAGACAGTTATAATTTTTTTTAAAAACTCAATTTCAATAAACTGAAAATATAAATTAATACATGTTGAATAAATTACATTTTAAAATATATTCAAATATAAAACAGTCATTTTAAATTGTAACGATATTTGACAATATTACTGCTTTTACAGTATTTTTGATCAAATAAATGCAGCTGTTCAGCCACCAGATTTTACAATATTTACTAATACTGTAAACGGAAGCACTGCAGTGCATTGTGTGCAGTGGAAGAGGTTTGCCAGCCTTGGATTCTGATTAAAGGTTTTCTCCTCCCCTTATTTCTCTCTTACTTCCTGTCATCCTGTAGGTCCACTGTGCTGCTCTTGGCCCCTCTCCTGGCAGAGGCAGACTCAGGCCCCCTGGCCTCCTCCAGACCTCCAGGCTTCACTGGTGTCGAGGGCCTCCACTCTCGGTTCCAGTGGATGGCTGATCATGTACCTGCTTTCAGGGTCCCTGGGGGCCGCATACGCATCCTTCACTCACCTGATGAGTTTTATCAGACTATGAAGGTATGCTTGAGTGAGTGAGTGAGTGTGTGTGTATGTGTATTTACTGGGTGAAAGCCAAGTAATTGCACCTTCAGAGAGATGTATTGCCAGTAAATATGACTATAAGGTTGTAAAAATAAAAATCTCTGATATCTTATTACCAACAGATATTATCTCACTCCATTTAGTGCCTTTCTATTTATAGTCATATTTATATCATGTCATTGTAAAATATATTATGTTGGGTGATATTTATGAGAAGGTGATGTTTATTTAATAAAACAGGTGGATCTTTGCCAAATGACCATTCTAAACGTCATAATTTATGTATTGGTATTAGTTGTATGATTTTTAACATTAAGAGAATGTTTTATCCAGTTAGATATTTAATAGGTTTAATTGTAATATTGTAAAAAATAAAAAATACATATTTGCGAAATGTTTGTCTTTTTATTTGAACTACTTTGATCTTGCCATGAAAATAGCTTTTAATTTCAATATGACTAATGATGACGATATGATAAAATAATGTATGATTAAAAATGAAATTTTGGTCAAATCCTTTTTTTTTAATTTTAGAAGATTGTCTACCTGTTTTTATGTAGACAATGGTTTGTCTTAAATCACTTTTTTTTTTTTTTTCATAATATATCTTGTAAAAAAAAACGTTACTCAGTGTTTCTCATTCAGTTTGTTGTACTTTCTGTTTGCCCAGGCTCGTATCAAGACAGCCAAGAGTCGTGTGGTTATGGCTTCACTGTATTTGGGCACAGGACCACTAGAGCAAGACCTTGTATGTAACCTGTCTGCACACATTTCCTGTCACTGACCAGTAAATATAACTTAGCCTAAGAAGGAAAAGGCTGTTTTTGTGCAGTTGACTGTGGCCTGTTTAAGAATTTTACATAAGAGGAAGTTGCTCAGGGAAGTTTATCATATCTCATCTTCTATTTTTACTTCTGTAAGATTAATACAATCAGGTATAAACAGTAGATCATGCCACAACCAAAGTCAAATCTGCAAACATATTCTGAAAAATGACCTCAGCAGAATTTAATTTTATCAACAGAATTTGATCTGGTGGTGTTTGCTAAATCTCAATCTAAAAGTTGAATTTAATCACCATCTCTGCGCACTAAAGTGCATTTCCTTGTTCATATTAACATGCGAAACCTGCCAGACAAGCCATAAGGTTCCTGTAGCAGAAGTAGAATAAAAATGAAAAATAGTACAGAACCCTAAGTTAACCCTAGTTTAAGGTTAAAAACTTGTCAGTCTAATGTGGATAATTAGAAGCTGCTTTCAGTGACTTTCTAATTTCTTTTGAAGGTTGATTGCGTGGAAGAGGCATTAGAGCACTCACAGGAAGATCATGTACCTGATCTCAAAATGTCTTTTTTGCTGGATTATACCAGAGGCTCAAGAGGTCTGTTTCTGTCTTTCTTTTACTCATTTCAAACACACACACTCAGGCTTTGTTCGGACAGACAGCAGCTGGCATATCCAACCCAAATCCTTGGAGTTGCTGTAGTCTGAACGGGAAAAACATAGGATTTAGGGCTGCACGATAAATCGCATGCGATATTTAATGCGCATCTTGTCAGTAAAGCCAGTTCTTTAATCAGCGGTAAATCTCCATCACCTGCGGGCTTTCACATGGAGCAGCATTAACTACACAGAGCCGTTGTTCACTGACAAGCTGCGCAAAACCACAATCATATTTTGCGCATGTTTTGCGCAGCTTGTCGGTGAACAACGGCTCTGTGTAGTTAATGCTGCTCGATGTGAAAGCCCGCAGGTGATGGAGATTTACCACTGATGACAGAATGGCTTTACTGACAAGATGCGCATTAAATATCGCATGCGATTTATCGTGCAGCCCTAATAGGATTGTGATCCAATACGATCTAAATCACACCGTTAAGTGGTTTTCACTCATTCACTCATTTATGGTGACAATGGAATGAAGGCAAACCATATGCATGATTGTGTGAAATAGTGTGATATATCTGATGTGTCTCATGAGTTATGAAGTCATTACTATATATATCAGATATTTACTACACTGAACATGTGGATCTGATTTCATTAATTAAATGACAGTGTGGACAATCAGTCCCAAAGATCAGATTTCAAAACCAGATAAGATTATGTGCTGTGTGAACAAAGCCTCGCATTCTCACTTATTCATAAACTTCCCTCTGTCTGTATTGTTCTTTAACTTCTTTTTGAACTATATTCTATGCATTCTGAACAGTCATAGCTTGATCTTTTCGATCACATTTCTGTGAAACCATCAGAAGGAAATAATGCCTACAGGAAAGCCCCTGCCACTGTTCGTTTCCCTTTGTCAACACTGACTAACATGCGTATGCCATGTCTATTCTGATATAACTGCCTGGGTGTAATTTTGGAGGATTTCCAGTTTTAGTAATTGTACGTTAGAGTTCAGACCTTTTTATTTTACCTTGCAAACTACTTGACAGGAACTGTTAGTCATTCCATTGACAGCTTTCAATGTGTTGTACAACTCGCCTAATGATGCTGTAAGAATTCATAATCTAATATGTCATGGTAACTGAAGCATCATATTGCAGCATAGAGCTTAATTTTAGTGGTTCAGATTCTGCTTGATCTCCTGAAAACGACTCATTATGAGAGGATTATGAGAGGGTGTTCACAAAGAGAGAGATGTGTTTTTTTTTATGTGTTAGCAATTTCTAGAGTGAACGACTGTAACTGTTGGCAATGCGTACAATATCATCTTCTATGCAAATGAGCAGTGACATGATGTGACGCCTACCAATATGAGTGCACCGGGAGGGGTCAAGGTTTGGTTAGTTAGCAGTGTCCCATTCTCAAAGCATCTTTCTCCATTGACATCCATTACAATAGCTGTGTATATATACTATATAACATATACTAGCATTCAAAAGTTTGTGGTCAGTACATGTAAATGTTTTTGAGTATTTTATGCTCACCAAGGCTGCTGTAAAAATACAATAACAGTAATATTGTGAAATACTATTATAATTGACTTTTTTTTTTATTATAATATATTTTCAAATGTAATTTATTCTTGTGACGGCAAAGCTAAATGTTCAACAGGTATTACTCCAGTCTTGAGTGTCACATGATCCTTCAGAAATCATCCTAATATGCCGATTTGCTGCTCATGAAACATTTCTTATTATTAGCAATGTTGAAAACAGTTGTGCTGCTTAATATTTTTGAGGCATCCATGATGATTATTTTAGGATTCTTTGATTCTTTTGATCATCATTTGTAATATTATAAATATCTTTACCATCTTTTTTCATCATTTTCATGCACCCTTACTGAATAAATGTATTAATTTCTTAAAAAAACATATATACATATATATTAAAAAGGTGAAAAGACTATTTTTATGTCTGCATTCTTTGGTATCAAAGCTATATCTTGCTGTAGTTCTATCATGACAACTCTCGGAAGATTGCAACATGAACCAATCAGCGTGTGCCAAGTAGTTTAATGCTGTGAATATCATCAGTTTGTGTTAACGACCCATCAACATGCGCCATCTAGAGTTTCATGACAGAACTTGGCATTTACAAGTGAAGGACTTGGAACTGACTAACTGACTATAACTTTTATTTGTTCCCAAAGGGCAATTGTTTTACAGCTTTCCTTCAATATGGAAAATGCAAAACTAAAGAGACTTTATACTATATAATAACTTAAACACAGAATGAACTGAAAAAAATCAGTGAACATTCAGTCACTGCGGGTGTTCTTGAGGGCAATCAGCCAATCAACCTCCATCAACCTCTAGTTTTTAGTGAGAATGTCCCATTAGTATATCTAACGCTTACTTCAATGTATGCACTGACTCATTGCTTCTCATTTCCCTATTTGTTATTTTTCATTTGAAGGTAAGCACAATTCCCGCACAATGTTACTGCCGCTGCTCCAGCGTTTTCCTGAGCAAATGAGAGTGTCCCTGTACCATACGCCTGACCTGCGGGGGCTGCTGCGTCTTCTGGTTCCCGAACGCTTCAATGAAACCATCGGGGTGCAGCACATCAAGGCATACCTTTTTGACAACAGTCTCATTATTAGTGGGTGTGTACACGTGCATATGTCACAGCAAAAGTGGATACGACACATGTTCGTAAACATATGTTATGGCCGGGTAACTAAAATATGCTTGCAGTGTAAATTTCTCTCAGACAAAATATTCCCATAGTTATTGCTTTTCATGGTTCTAGGTTTGTTTTTAGAGCATATGGAGCTCATGCAAACCGCCTGCGCTCAGTGGAGGAGGTGAATATTTGTTCGCCCACTCTTGAGTGTGATATGATATTTCATCTCATACAGGGCCAATCTGAGCGACTCCTACTTCACCAATCGTCAGGATCGTTATGTTCTGCTGGAGGACTGTGAGGAAGTGGCTGATTTCCTTGCTGAACTCGTGGGAGTCGTGGGCGACGTGTCACTGCAGCTCCAGCCTGACAACAGTGTGCACATGATTGAGGGAATGGTGCATCCTTACAAAGGCAAGTGGTTTTCCAAGGGAGGACCTGTTTAAACAGAAGCTACTTCCTTAAATGTATAATGTCATAAGACAATGAGAGGGGATTTCAATGAGAATTCCTTATAGAGTTCATTTTCATATGCTGGCTACATTATTTTAGCACCTGAAATGAGGAATTATGTAAGTTAAAAATCACATTATGTAAGGTAAATGCCCAAACACATTCACAAAATGCTAAACGCAGCTTCCTTAGCTTGGAGGCTGATTGTGAGTGATCAATTGCGTGAGGATGTAGCTAACTACCATAATAATTCAAATTGAATGCCATGGCCATGTTAACCGAAGATAAAACGGTATTTAAGCATGCAAGGTGCAGTGCTACACCATCGTGTGTATCACTTGGTTTAAATGGACTGGGTGGAATGAATATCTATTATTTATTAAGAGCATCCTTGTTTAGGTGCAGCTAGACTGTCTTAAGTGCAAGTGATCAAACAACTTCAGCATTTTTTTGACAACGAAAGTAGTCCTGATAAGAGAAATGAGTGACACTTGTGGTTTCCACCCACTCTGACATACATGAATCAGAGGTTATGATGGTAAGTCACTCATTTCCTTGTAACACCAGCATTGTGGTAACACATTGAGTATCAGGAAGCTCGGAGCCTGCTTGCTAGCCTCTGGTCTCTGTGATGCTGAGCTTCAGCCATGACTCGGTGTGTCTTACGGTCCCCAGGCTCAGCGATGAGCGCGAAACGAGTGAATGAGTGATTATGCTCATTCAGCTTCGGTCCATATCCGTAACCCAGCGTCGTTCAATGACATAATCGTGGTGGAGCGGGGCCACAGTTTGTCACAGATCCCAGAAATAGTGCAATGATGTCACCTTGCTGGTGGTAAGTGATCTGTGCTGGGAGGGTAGGAAAGGAAAGGAGAGATGCAGAACGATGATAGGTTCGGGAAGGAGCTATTTGGACCTCGATACAGTCCGTCAAGACAATGAGGTCAACGGAAAATGATGGACTGATAGCCAACAGCGAGAATAGTGATGTATGACGGTAAAAGGAGGAAAATATCAGACTGAAAAGCACATGCACTCGAATCAGGGTGACATTTCTTTATGCAACTCATCGACGACAGTATATGTACGAAGCAAAAGCCTCATCTTCCAGTAAGAGTTACTAGAGCGCTGGTCCATTGAGAAGCTTATCCGCTGAGTCGGCAGTTCGGTCCTGCCCCTGTATCTCCAGTAATTGGATCCCACAGTCTGTCGGTAAGAGCCGCTGAAATTCGTGGCCCTGTTAACTGGATGTGTTTGGACCTCTGAGGCCTGGAGGCTTGGGGTGGCTGGCTTTGCGTCCGTGGGGAAAGCCCCAGTATCCTGCTTCAAAGAGCCGTTTATTTGTTCTCCGCCGGCCACACATATTTGTGGAGGCTTTCGCTTTTTCTTGTTCTCTGCATTTAACAAACAGAATATTCTGAGCGGCCTTGCTGCACATTTTCCATCTTAACCAAATAAGCACAGACACCATGGAGCAGCAGGCTTCTGCCATACATTACCAACATGCAGGGTTCTGCCCTGAAGCTAATTCATTATTTACAGATTATCTCTCTTGCTATGAGTCACCGTGGCACATTATGTCTAGCAGAGGCGCCAGGGTTTGACAGCGCCTTTCCAGACGGTCAGCAGTTATTGACCCGTGTCTCTGAGGTTTTGATCATGCATTTGCAGGATCTCACATGAGCAAATACCTGATAGAATGGATTGGAGGGGAGCAGATTGCGTGTCGTTTCCCTTGCATACCCATTCAGATAAGTGTGAATGTAAGCACCCTGTTAAGATCAGTTGCTTAGAGTCATTCTGTTTATCATTACTATCAGGTATTTTAACTTGATTGACACGTTTCAAAGCACCTTTTCAAAACCTACTGAGTTATGCTGCTATGCTAACTGAAATAGAACTTCTTAAGTTACTTATGTTGAATGTTCTGCTTAGGCAGAAACTTCTCACGTAAAGCACATGGGAGACTCATATTTGGTTTTACAATCGTTTGTTTATATTATAAGTTAACACAGTAGTATTTACACTGTTGTTCAAAAGTTTGGGGTCAGTTTTTTTGTTTGTTTGTTTGTTTTTTTTTTAAGAAATAAATTAATACGCATAAAGTCAGAAGTGACAGTAAATACATTTATAATGTCACAAAAATGTATATTTCCAATAAAGGCTGTTCTTTTGAACATTTTGGTCATCAAACAAAAAATCCTGAAAAAAATGTATCTTAGTTTCCACAAAAATATAAAACAGCACAACTGTTTTCAACATTGATAATAATAACAAAAAAAGTTTCCTGAGCGCCAACTTGACATATTAGAATGATTTATGAAGGATCTTGTGATACTGAGGACTGGAGTAATGGCTGCTGAAAATTCAGCTTTGCCACCACAGGGATGAATTACATTTTAAAATATGTGGAAATAGAATTAAAAAAAAAATGATACTAATGTTTCACACTATTATTTTTTTTACTGTATTTTGGATCAAATAAATGCAGCCTTGGTGAGCATTGGAGACTTTTCCAAATACATTAAAATCTCCCCAAACTTTTTAACATAAGCAAAAATGTACTGTAGTACAAATAAATGTCAGATAAAATAGTCAGATTTAACTTTATCAATCTATTTTTATCAGTATTTGTCAGTAGTGAAGGAAATATGGTTATAATCATCATTTAACATGCTTTTATTGCCATTTTGTATGTTTTTTTTTTCTCACCACGGTGTATTATGGGATCATCTTCTCTATAAAAGACACAAGTGATGTGGCCTTAAAATTTGTCCAAAACGTAGTTTTTGGAACAGCTGTGCTTAAAATGCTGCCTATGTTGGCAGCTGACTAGGTTTTGGAACACAGCCCAGATGTATCCAATATTTAAGTGTTTCAACAGAGTTGTTCTCAGATGTGGTCTGTCTTGTGGTCTAACAGGTAACAGAGCAGAGTTTTCTGCATCGGCACAGAGACGGATCATGGAGGTGGTGAACACGGCCCGTGTCCGGCAGAGCATGCTGGAGGCGGAATGCTCAGACATCCTAGACTCGGACAGAATGGTGCCAAATGACACTTGGATCTTTCCACTCATGCAAATGAAGCCTCTGGGCATTCACCTGGATGAACAAGTAACCCAACGACTGCTCATAGAGCCAGGTGGAGACTCAGTCGTCTACCTGACATCGGGTTACTTCAACCTGACGCGCACCTACATGCAGCTGGTGCTGGGTGCAGCAGCAGACTACCGTATCCTCATGGCCTCCCCAGAGGTTAATGGCTTTTTTGGAGCCAAAGGTGTAGCAGGAGCAATTCCTGAGGCCTACGTTCACCTCGCCCGACAGTTTTACAATAAGGTGTGCATTTTTTTTTTACGGTTTAGCACAGGACTGGGCAGCATGATGTGTATATACTTGTGTTGACAGAGATGAACACTTCAGTGTAGACAGCTCTGTTATTTATAAAAGGAGCTATTTAGTTTTGTCAAGTCATGCCGCCCACTTCTAGTGTGGACAAGATGTAACTATAGGTTTTTTACGGTTGCCAGACACCATTACAAATTGGTGCATTAACATATAATTCAACTGATTTGTGAACTTACTGCTGCATATACTGTAGTATATCGGCTACCAAAAATATTTATAACGTATTATCATTTTACATCTTTTGTTTTTAATTAAGTTGTTTTGTACTCATGCCAAATTTCTCATTATTTTTTTTAATTGAATAATCTTTTGATTTGCTTCCAATATGGGTTTATAATGTTTTTTAAAAGCTGCATTTATTTGATCAAAAATACAGTAAGAACAACAATATAGTGAAATAGTCTGTCCTGCTTTTTGTTTAGTGAAGTTTTAGTTGACTTAAAGTCTGGGATTTAAAAGTCTTAAAGTCTAGTTTTAGTCAATTAAATTTTTTAGTCACATTTTAATCATGCCGTGTAATGGTAAAATAGTGGCATTCTTAATATTAATTCCAAATTATATTAAAGGGGTCATATGATGCAATTTCAAGTTTTCCTTTCTCTTTGGAGTGTTACAAGCAGTTTGTGCATAGATAAGATCCCTAAAGTTGCAAAGACTAACGTCTCAAACCCAAAGAGATATGTTTTATAAAAGTTAAGACTGATCCACGCCCTCCTAAAACGGCTCGTTCTAACACGCCCCCACATGTCTACGTCACGATGTGGGAAGATTTGCATAACGCCGCCCAAATGTTCACGCAAAGAAAGAAGGCGTAACTTTGATTCTCGCTGTAGTATTAGGCTTGCCGCGATAGACGGTGCTGATGGTAATACCGGTGTTAAGCCGCAACACCGGTTACGTCACTTGCCCACCGCGTCACCGACCCCCACCGTCGTTTTGATTTTTTTATAGTAATAAAAATAATTTAGTTGAGTAAAAGAACAGACACTACAATTAAAAACTGAATGCGGCTACTCGATGCAGCGTGCCGAACGACAGTCGCATCACACAGATCAGATTATTTAAAAGCAAAGGAAAGCGAGGAAAAGAGGGAATGCCCCGCCCCCGCAGTGATACCGGTATTACCGTTGTTGTCACGTCGATTAACCGGTGGGAAAATTTCCTCACCGTCACAACCCTATGTAGTATTGTTGCTGCCGCCACCGCTGTGTTTCGTTGTAAAAGCGAAAGTACTTTCTTTGGTCTTCCAAAAGAGGACACAACGAGAAATCAGTGGTTAAATTGTATTTACAGCACTGTTCCAGAACAGTTCAACCCAAATATTCAGATGTGTGCAGCACATTTTATGGAGG